TAAATTTTTATATATATATAAATATGTACATATATATGTATACACATATAAACATTTAAAAAATATACATTTATATATATATATATATATATATATATATATATATATATATATATATATATATATATATATTGTATGTATATATATATATATATATATATATATATATACACTATTTCCCATGTGTATAACTACTGTAAGAAAATATCAGCATTCGGTACATACTTTCAGTATTATCTTTGCTTGAACTGACCTGATCTAATCCTGTTTATATGAAATGGACCTGCTCCTACGCAGGCTTGAGCTACCAGAACTCTTACTATGACAACAAGCCTCAGATGAGTTTTGAAGAACGAAACGATCCTGGATCGTGTCAAATCGTCAACATCATAATCCAGCTAACTGAATAATCCACAAACGAAGAACAGACCCCTGGAGGGGCGTGGTTAAGTATGTTAGCCACGCCCAATACCTCAGTCAGTCCTAATATGAGAATTGAACTAAAAACAAACAGGAACTGCATTTTTTTAGATATACATTTAAGACAACAAACAATCGCAAACCTTTTTTTCCCTAATGACATGCACAGATGAATTGTTCACCACATAATTAGCAATGTGAGCTAACAAAATCAATACGGTTGGTTTTGATTTCATGTGTACTTTAAATTATACCATCTGCAACTAAATCACCCACAAACCCCTAGTATCAGGCTGATGAGTTTCATCATCTCCTCTCAGATTTTCTAGAGCAGGTAAATAAAAAAAGTCATTTTTCTTCCCTCTCTCTCTCTCGTCCTCATGATCTGCTGTTGCGTGGGCGATCGTACATCTCTCAAGACCAGCGATGAGGTGAAATGCCATCCAATTAACATAAAAGAAATGAGCAGCATTAGTCATCAAGACAGACCAGCTTCAGGAAAGAAAGTACAGATTCCACACTTTATAAATAAGGGTGATTTTTTTTGTATTACTGTACTGACAAGTGTTTTGAAACATAATTGTTATGAGAATAACAATAAAACAATGATTAAAGTAGTACTCACAAGACAATGTTTATTTTCCTCGCGCACATTGACTACATTCACATGGACATCAGTAATCTAATTATTTGCCTTAATCTATTTAAAACAATAAGGGCAGCACAGTGGCGCAGTGGGTAGCACAATCATCTCACAGCAAGAAGGTCGCTGGTTCGAGCCTTGGCTGGGTCAGTTGGCGTTTCTGTGTGGAGTTTGCATGTTTTCCCCGTGTTGGTGTGGATTTCCTTCGGGTGCTCCGGTTTCCCCCACAGTCCAAAGACGTGCTGTATAGGAGAATTGGGTAGGCTGAATTGCCCATAGTGTATGTGTGTGAATGAGAGTCTGTGGGTGTTTCCCAGTGATGGGTTGCAGCTGGAAGTGCTTCCGCTGGATAAAACATATGTGCTGGATAAGTTAGCGGTTCATTCCGCTGTGGCGACCACAGATTCATATAGGGACTAAGCCGAAAAGAAAATAAATAATTAAGACGATAATATGATTAAGGTTTTTACATTACTTGCTTTTTAAATGTTCCTTTCATGATCCCGATTTACATGTTAATTTTAACAAGTGTAATTTAAATTTGATGCCTTTACAGTAGTCCTACAGTATGTGTGCAATCTCCAGAGAGGGGAGGGCAGTTTTATTTGTTAAAGAAAATTACATCATTATATTAACAACACGTGAAAAATTAAACTAAATCAAAACAAATAATAAATAAAATCAGTATTTATAAATGTGATTACACCAAATGTAAATGATTACCGGTGGCTTGTTGTCACATCACACAATTTTTGAAATTGAAGTCATGACCAAACGTCAAGTAGAGGCTTCGATAAAGTTAAAGAGCCCTATTTGGCATTATAAAAGGTCATATTTTGGTCTTGGGGTCTCCACCAACATCCTGATATGCGTGCAAGGTCAAAAAACACTTTCATGGTCTTATAATATGCATTTATTTTTACCTAATTATCCCAGCGACTCCCATATAAATTGTTCAGCGTTTCATTTGTTCCCAAACCCCTCCTTAATCCAAAGCTAATCTGTTCTGATTGGTCCGATGACCCAGTCTGTTGCGATTGGTCGACTGCGTTCAGCACGAGACAGAGAGAAATGCCCATCACGGCTACAGTATGAAGTAACACAAAGTATGTGAGAGCCCAATGCAGGAATGCAATAAAGCAATGCAGTCAAACACCAGCATGTACTCTACTGTTCACCCTAACCCCAAGAAATAACAGCGACACACATTCAGTAATAATCCACACAGTGACAAACGCTGAACTATTTTGAAAATTGGCCGCGCTGTGTGTGTGCAGGAATGGCTGATAGTGGCTATAGCAAAGGCAAACAGCAGAGAATCACTAGTTCAGATATATCGGTAAAGGAAGAAGCACGCATCACGTTTTTAATGTGGTGTTGGACGCGATATGTGAACAGCCCCATACACAACCGGAGTAAGCTGAACTGCCGCTCAACCCCAATGTGAAAACGAAAGTGACCGGTATTGAAAATGAAGTTAGGTGACAGGACCTCTATTTTGTCGTTGACGACGCCCTCTCTATTCTGTCGCCTATGTGCGAATATAACTGAGGACGCGGGTGGTGAGGGAGTAGTCGCGGACATAACTGAGGACGCGGGTGGTGAGGGAGGTGTCGCGGACAAAACTGAGGACGCGGGTGGTAAGGAAAGTGTCGCGGGCATAACTGAGGACGCGGGTGGTGAGGGAGGTGTCGCGGACAAAACTGAGGACGCGGGTGGTAAGGAAAGTGTCGGGGGCATAACTGAGAACGTGGGTGGTGAGGGAGGTGTCGCGGACATAACTGAGGACGCGGGTGGTGAGGGAGGTGTCGCGGACAAAACTGAGGACGCGGGTGGTGAGGGAGGTGTCGCGGACAAAACTGATGACGCGGGTGGTAAGGAATGTGTCGCGGGCATAACTGAGGACGCGGGTGGTGAGGGAGGTGTCGTGGACAAAACTGAGGACCGAGTGGTAAGGGAGGTGTCGCGGACGCCGCCCTCTCTATACTGCAACCCCAGGCGGCCACCTAGGTCGCCTCTATGGACACGCCAGCCCTGGCCCCATACAGATTTAACCTGAGAGATACAGTACAAGCACCTACTGTAACCCATACGTGATTACAAGTCGTGCGGGGCCATTACAACTTATAACACACATATTTTAAACTACACAAAACGAGGCAACAATTTTAATGACACTTACATGTTATGATCCGGAGGAAGAAGAAACTAGTCCATGTAAACTGTAAAAGTTACTGACAAAGTCCCATACATAATAGTCTGCTGCTCCTTCAATAGCAAATGGCCGACGAATCCCGCGTTGCAGCGTAGGTTATTGTTTTAAAAATCTGAAAAATGACAGGAACAAACACAGCACAGAGCTGTGAACTTTAAGCCTTTATTCGAATCTCCATCTGTCAGTGATCATCATCTTCGCGTCATGATCAGTACCGTGATCCCCCCCGCGCCTCCACTAGTGTGTGGAGGGCAAGCGCGTGCACATTTTACCAGATCAGGAACTACATATTTGGTGATGTATCGTATCGGCGTCGATGTGATCAAACAAAAGATCCGAACCCAACTCGATTAATTTATTCGACTCTGAGTCAACTATTTTGTTAAAGAATCAATAGTTTTAAACATGCTGCACTTTTAGATTTAAACCTCCGCTGGATGCTTTTATTCCCTTAGAGCTGTGTTACACACTATATGGAGGGTTATTTAAAACAACTTTGACTTTTGACAATGACAATTATTAATATCTAAAACTTGAACATCTAAATCACGTTTTCCATGTAATATTTCACTTGAAACATCAATGCCAACTTGTATAAAGACGTGCTTGAACTATAGGGAGCGTGTCACAAGTTGTCATTGTTCAGAAATGAACAAATGTGCAAATATAAAAGTGATTGTACCTTCATTTTGGACATTAACGTCTGAATGTTCAATATGTAAACACCTGAGGAGATTTCTCTGTATGAAAGACTCGTGCTGCTGAATCTACAATATTGTTGGTCATAAATATTAAAGAAATGTGGAGATGAAGATTGAGATGATTGACAGGGCACGTAACTAAGCAACCCAACGGTTTGTTAGGAAGCAGCTTGTTGTTTATTTTTAATTTATTTATTTATTGCTTTATTAACACGATCAAAGAGCTTAGAATGACCAAGAGGCGACACTCAATAGAACGTTCCATTGCAACAGCAGCGCCCAGCAACAGCCAAGGATTCCGCCATTTTGAAGTAAAAGCGATCGGCTGTCCATAGGATCTTATTGCTGTCGCGATGGCAAGCTGCAAGCAGCTGCTTTGTTTTTCATTTATTTGTTTAAAAAGCGTATTAAAGCTGAGATACAACCTGAAAGACAACAATACAACACGTACTCTCACAATCATCAGCACTTTTAATAGTTTATTTTACAGACTTAAGAATATGCTGTTGTTCTATTGGAGTTTTCATTCCAAAATGGCCGCCGCGCCATCTAGTGGCGTTCTCCCAAATTACACTAGCGTCGCCTCTTGGTGATTCTATGCTCTTTGACACGATCCAGTAACATTACATTTCATTTGAGAACAAAATCAGTTCACATTCCTTAATTTCTTTACACACTCAACAACAGCAATGTTACAGCAAGAGTTTCAGATTTTGTGCTAATGTCGTTCACTCTGCTGTTGTTTAAAGTGTGTGTGTCCACATACCTGTGCAGGTGATCTGTTCTCAGCCTGAAAGTTACAACCTCCGCGAGGCTTTGTGTGACGGGTCGCCGGAGGGGCCTTTACTGCGCAATCCCGGGGACCACGACCGGATCCGGGTACCGCGGCTGCCCACATCCGCCGATGTAGAGTCGGTGCTGCGGCTGACGGACTACGAGACCGGGCAGATGGACCGACGGGCAAACCTGAGCTTCAGGAACGCGCTGGAAGGTACAACAGCACGGTCACGTGAGCGAGATTTGAGCTGCATAACGACAGCGTCCACTTTAAAGCCAGTTATAAAAATGTTCCCTGACTTTCACTGACTAAAAAGATTAATTTCCTTGACATGAATGAACGGAAAAACAGGCCGTTTTGCATAATATTAAATTAATTTTAGCATTAATTTGCAAGACTTTAATAGTTTAGAGCAGCAATTGATTTACCTCAGATTTTCAATAAATAAATACTCTTTGATTGGTTACAAAGTGCGATCTCTCGCATATTTGATAGCTTAATAGTTTTACAAACGTTGTTTAGATGTTTTAGATTTTTCTTCATTTATTTTTTTACACCCAGCAGATCATAAAGTGCTCTTTTTAAAGTCAAAGATCAATAATTCAAGACTTCAATAGCCACTATTAGAACAACAATTGATTATTCACCTCAGATAAAATTAAAAATCTGATACTCTGATACACTACTGTTGGATTGGCTTCACATGCTCTCTCTCTCTCTCTCTCTCTCTCTCTCTCTCTCTCTCTCTCTCTCGCGCGCGCATATTTAATAGTTTGATAGAAGTTTTACAAACTGTATCCATGTAGCTTTTCAGATTTTTCTTTTGATCTGTTTTTTTTTTTTACCTATTTTTAATTTTCATTTTAAAGCCAAATATCTACAATACAAGACTTAAATTGCCACTATCAGAACAACAATTGATCATTTACGTTAGATTTTTAAACAATAATTCATTCATTTTCTTGTCAGCTTAGTCCCTTTATTAATCCGGGGTCGCCACAGCAGAATGAACCGCCAATTTATCCAGCAAGCTTTTACGCAGCGGATGCCCTTCCAGCCGCAACCCATGTCTTGGAAACATCCACACACGCACACACTACGGACAATTCAGCCTACCCAATTCACCTGTACCACATGTCTGGGCTGTGGGGGAAACCGGAGCACCCGGAGGAAACCCACGCGCGAAGGCAGGGAGAACATGCAAACTCCACACAGAAACACCAACTGAGCTAAGGTTCGAACCAGCGACCTTCGTGCTGTGAGGCGACAGCACTACCTACTGCGCCACTG